GTTCGAATAGCGCTGACAGTTAATATTTTCTGCGTTCCACAAGTTATTTTCAACTCTCTGGGTTTTTTTTAACATGTCTAGGACTTTTGAAATCATTCTCTGCAAAGGAGTACGTGGTTTTTATTTTACTATTTTATTTTTCTACGTATGTCAGTTAACTCTAAAGGCATCTTTTCACGCACGCACGCGCGCGCGCACACACACACACACACACACACACACACACACACACACACAGGGACCTATGAACCCATAAGACACATTCCGGACGCCCCCATCACTTTCACGAGTCATCAATCATAAATGTAGATGTCTGTGTGCTGTTCTTTGTGCGCGCCCTGTCTCGTCCGACATCAGAGCGAGAAGCCTCTAGATTGTATGTGCAAGAGTGCAAGCATTTAAAATACCCAGATCGTGAACTCTGACGTAATTCCGGGTCATAATGGAGAGCACTATTCGACTCAATTCGAGCCAAATGAAGCGAAAGGAGGAAAAGGGTCCCATATACTCGATTATAGCAACGATCTTTGTTGTAGCGAGACTGGAGTTTTGTTCTTCACTGGGTCGAAATGATGAGGCCCCTGGTACGAACACCTCGTGGAGAAGCTTCTTTTTTAGCGAAGAGGGCGGCCATGACAGTGCTCGGTATTTATAGAGTACAACAATGTTTATACATCGCTACCTTAGAATCACAAAGTTCTATCTAACGTTCTCGGCCGGTCTGGGTTATTAAAACCATGATATCAGAAGCCAAATGCTCTGTCTGCTCCATCAAAGTCGTAGGATTATTTGGAGTCATCATCAATTTGTATAATATAAATTCAAAAATTTGCATATACGAAAAAGACTGACATGCTGAGACACTAAAAATGTAAACGGCCAAATTTCTCAAAACTAGGCGCTTAGCAGATAGAACGTTGTAAGTGTAAGGTAGCGAAATGTATCATGATCTATGCTTGGTCCACAAACAAACGTCGGTTGGCAGGGACTGGCGATGTCATCAAACCGTTCACCATACGCACACACTCATACAGTATGTATCATTATTATACACAGAACACAGGATCACGCTCGTCACGCTTGAATTTACATGGCAATTATAATTCATGGGCGAGAGAAGATGAAAGGGAATACATCGCCCACTGAGATAGAGCAGTCAAACTATCTCTTCAACAAAAATTCTAAAACCTTGAGACAAGTACAACCCTATCTAGTATGCAGATATGCAAATATTCACTGTTCTATTCAAACAGTGTTTTTGAAAATGGAGATTATGAGGAGGAAAAATACATCAAATTGTAGGAAGCCATGGTAGTAGAATCTCTTTGTTCAGACCAAAAAAAAAAAGGAAATAAAAGACCCACTATAAGAGCTTTCAAAGTAACGAGTGTGGCGCAAATTATTCCCCGGCCATTTGATTTATGAGTCCTTTTTAGTATCTCAGAGGTATAAAAATCGACAGAGCCCGATAAGAAATCGATAAATCATGAGCGATCAGCCCCGGGGACCTGGAGAGCAGAGAGGACTGACGGGGAGATTTACCGCCGGATGACCAGGACGACAGACACACACGTGCCTGGGGCCCGGCACCCTATGTCACAATGCCGGACAGAGGGCGCTGATTGTTGATTAGACCATCACTGGTCACCACATGTGGGCTCACGCACGTGCCATGGGTAACGCCCCTAAAGGAATTAACATCGTCAACACAGACTGATGGAAGCTCTTCACTCGGGACTTTCGTGTGGTGTTTATACACTATTCGGGTACTTTGCTACGTTTTAGAGTGAGAGAGGGACAGATTTCGAGATAAAATTATGTTCTCAATTCACCTGAGTGACTTCTGCTTCTATTCATGACAGAAACATGTTACAACATTTTAAAGCCACTATCCAAAACTTTACCTAATGCTCCAACTCTCAACAGTGCCAAAAAATACATTCTAAAATACAAGTTTTTCGAATACACGATAGGCCTTAAGCTGACATTCCATATGCCCGAAAAACCGATGCGAATTTCGGGTGCGAACTATTTTTTTCGCACCAATCTTTTTGTCATTGTGTAAATCCATATATACCGGAATTTCGCATGTCCGAATCTGAAATTCGCATGCGAAGATTTTGTTTCGCACGAGGGAGCGAAACTTTTTTCTTCGGCACCCGAATTCTTCGTGAAGTGAGCGGGGCTCATTTACCGCAAAATCTACTTCAACTTCAAACGAACGAAAGAGCATGGAAGCACTAGGAAAATGGGAAAACGTCGAAATGTTGATTTCCTTGGTTCGAGAGAGAAGTGTTAAAACTAAGACTGAAAAAAGGTGTTTATTTTCAAGGTGGCTGCCATTTCCATGGCAACCGCTTTTTAAAAAAAGTTTGTGGCATACTGAGTATAGTAGTCCTTGGTTTGTGGGAAACTTTCGGGAGTCTTTGTCATCTATCTATGCTATCATTTATCGTTTAAATCATGTAATAACAAACATAGCATTTCAATTACCCCCC